GAGACCAGAAAGATGGGAACTGAACATTCTAGTGTGTGACAAAAGCATTGCTTTGAGGTGTTCTGAGATGAAAGCAGATTCAATAAAAACTTGACAACGAAGCATCCATTCCATGGGAAGAGCTCTGTTATGACGACATAACTGGTCGGCCACTAAATTTATTAAATCTGGAACATGGCAAACAAGGAGAACTATCTGATGTTTGTGTCCATTAAAAAAATAGAAGATCCAATGTTAAAAAGTGAGAGTCCTACTGCTTTGAAGTGTACAAGAAAACTGTGGAATTGTTTGAGTGATGTATTAGCAACTTCCCTCACAACAATCCAAGACTCTAAGTCATAGCTCCTTGAACTGCTAGAAGTTCTAGTAGACTGATGTGAAAAGAAGTTTCCTCTTCTGTCCAAAGGCCTGTGACTTCCATATTCTCCATACAAGCACCATATCCCTGGAAAGAAGCATCTGTGAAAAGATGTATCACTGGACATGGTGGCAGTAGAGGGACACCAACTGTCATGTTGTTCCTGTCTAACCACCAGCCAAGATCTTGCAAACTGGAAGCCAGCAGGATCACTGGACAATCCAGAGCATGTATGCAAATGTTCCATTGGTTCCATAATGATCACTGAAGGGTCAGCATTTGAGCCCAACCTAAAGGAATGAGTTTTCCAAGAATGCCCATATCCCCAAAAGAGATAAAACTGCACATGCTGTTGGAGAAGGAGACAACTGTAATTGAACTACCAGTTCCATGGCTTGAAGACATAAAAAAAAGAAGGTTAGGCTAAACTTTGTCTGGAATTGAAAAACACCCCTAAATGGATGAGATACTGTGTGGGAGTAAGAACAGACTTCTACTTTTTGATAAGAAACCCAGCTCTTGCAGTTTCTGCTTATGGAGATTGAGTGAGAAGTTCTGACAAGTGGTGGGAGGGGGCAAGAAGAAGTCAGTCGTTCATGTAATGGTGAATGTGAACTTTGTTCTTCATAGATAGGGTGAAAAAAGTGACCAAAGGGAAGAGACTCCATTGTAAACTGAGGAGGCTGGATTAAGGGATTGAGATGAGAAAGGTCGATTACATGTTGCCAATTGTCCATCTTTTTTGGTACTATAAACAGCCAGGAATAAAAACTTTCAAGATAAGAGTTGACACACTTTGTTGCCTCTTGTGTTGAAGATCCTGGATGGCTTGAGATCAACGGCTGGATGTAAGAGGGTCCTTGAGAAGTGGAAAGCCAACTGGTATGAGAGATAATGGATGAGACATGAACTGAATGTCCAATCCTCCCCTGAAAACTTGAATGGCAAACTGATCTGTAGTGAAGGTCTTCCATACTGATACGAACCCTCTGAGTTGAGACCCCACAGGACCTGATGCTATAAGGTAGTCACCGACACCATAGTCTGTGTTCCACCCTTGAGGAGGATATCTGGTGGTAAGGCCAGAATCATCCTTGTCTTCCAATTAATTATAGCACTGAAGTCGGAGGTCTGGAAAATCGAACAGGAGATGCAGGAAACCATCCTGTAGAAGACCTATGGGACAGTCTAGATGCTAGGGTAGCATAGGGAAGAGTGGACGCAGGCCACATACACTCGAGGTTCCACAGAATTGGGAGTACCAGCAAAAATAGACTGTCTAAGAAAAGGAGTTTCTCTGAGATCTCTAAGGACTGAAGCAGGAAAGCAAACTCCCTCCAGCAAGGCATCTCTCTCCAAAAGATCCCAACAACAAACCAAACAAGATACCAATGAGAGAACAGAAGCCAATAACCTGACCAAAGTAAAAGTCAATAAATGACTAAGATCATATAAAAATTGTTCAGAAGATCTGTGATAATCCTCAGACAGCAGTTACAAAGGTGATAAAAGCACAAAAACTTTTGTAAGTCACAGACAAATTCTGGAAAACTTAGACTGATTATGGTAACCATAACATCTTGTCTGGAGTCCCAAATAGAAAGAAGAGGATCTAATCTATGAGAGTCCAAATAAGGGTTCTCCAGATGATGGAAAGCCAAGGCAGGCTGATCCATAAACAAAGAGGACAAGGCATGTCAGCACCCTCTCTCAACTGATCAGCAAATCTCCTCACAGACATAGCAATGTCTGGCAATGGTGGAAGGACCAGGTAATCAGACAAAAGATTTCCCCCAATAAAGAAGGATAACATTCATAAGCTGCATGAGAAATATTTAATAACATTATAAATTTGGTGTACTAATTTCAAAAAAGTGCAGGAGGTGGACGCTCAGATAACACCATACTCATGAGGTGTAAGAAAAGGAGCACCAGATGACTCTGTGTCTCAGACATGAACATGTGTATTCATATTCCAAAACCATCTCCAAATTTTTTTTTGCTGCTGCTTTTTTATTTTTTTAATAGTAAAATCAAGAGAATAAATAATAAACTCAAGACCCACTAAAACTGGTCTACAAGTAAACCAAAAGAAAACATTGAGAAATGTAGTAATAACCCTGAAGAGAAATCTTCAGTAATCACAAAAGGGTACATTGACATAGGTGGAGAGAGTCACAAGATCAAAATCGCTTTGAGTAATATATTGGAGTATAAAGACTGATTCAGGCGAGATATAATTTATACCAATGCTTAGATGGGCAAAGAGGAGAAACTTAAGTCGGGATAATGCTAAGAAGTGAAAGGTGATGCGTTTCAATAACTATAAGATGAAAAAAGTATTTTTATTCTTAACATGAAAGTCACCTTGCACTCAGACTAGTAAAGGCTTCATAAATTCAGACTAATCTTTAGTAAAAATACATATTTAAAAACCTTTGATTCTTTTTGTACGTCAAACTTGTAATATTTACTAAAAGCTTACCACATTCTGTGAATATAACTTAATAAATTCACAGTTAGAGTATAATTACGTGATGGTTAAAAGGTTGGTCATCTCGACCAAGCCTGTATATAGAGAGTAAATACAATTTGTTTGAATAACCACAAATAAAAACAAAAAAGTTGTGAATGAGGATGAGTTGGTGTTTGTGCAAATGTCATTTCATATAAAAATAACCAGAGACGTATGCTTCTTTATTAACATACCTTATATTGTAGTACATGAAAAGTACAGACAATCAATTTTTTTTTTTACAGTAACAGGTCATTTAAAACAATAAAAAATTCAATACTTTGTTAGTGATAATCATCATGGAAACAACCAGTATTAAGACTACTGAAAAGTGCTTAATTTCTGTTGCTCAATGTTGAGGAGTTAATTTGAACTGGAACTTTATATAAGTTTATTCAAAACATTTTCCAATATGAGCAACTTTCAAAAAGAAAACATAGGGGGTAAAAAAAAATTATTAATGTGTGAAAGAGAATGTTTCCAGACTAAATTTTCATGTGTAATTAGAAAATTCTTTGTATCAATCTGAACATAAGATTTTCTTTAGTGTTTATCACTTTATAAGCATTATAGAGCTCTACAGTGTACCACCATATGAAAAAAAGCATGCAGTAGTAGAAAATGACGTAATCTATAAACATTACACTCTAAACACAAATAACCATCTAATTTTGAAGAGAAAATGAACACACTGTGTGATTTTAAAAAATGGTAAACCTAAAGAAACCAAAAACTCAATAAAAGAAAACAACAACATATGTTTCAATTGCATTACCACTACATCTAACAAGTTCATTCTCAATACATGAAAAAAGATTAATTACAGATTTGTGGAAAAGTGACTAATTAAGTTTACTATAGAAGTAGATTTGTTCCTCCAACACAATGTATGATGAAACCACATTTTATATATATATATAAAATTAACAGCCAGCAGTGTAACACAAGCAAATAAATTAAAGTTTGCAGAAAACTGCTAAGAGCGTAATTCCAGATAGCATTAAAAACATTGGGGATATCTCGTCTCTCCAATTACCTTTTCAATGCAGGTAAGAAGCTAGCCATGAAAATAGAGCCGAATAAGTTAATAAGAGGTAAAACATAGGTGCATAAACCCACAATGTCCCAAGGTTTTGATTATCATTCACCATCTGTGGCAGACTGTTGGTATGGTTGTAACTTCTAACTAGTAGTAACCCTTAATTTTAGAATTAAAATACAAGAATGGTATAAAATCATATTAATTTTTTTTAAAAAAACCTATATTACTCTCCTATGTAGTAGAATGAAATACAATTAAATCACCCAACCATAACCCATAACAATGATCTTAAAAAATGAAAGTCATCAAACAATAACATTCACACTCTCATTAAGAGGCATAATACACCTAAACTCAATATTTATTAAGGAATGTTTTCTGTTCTATCAAATAAAAAGTCAGGGACTGTTATCATACTTGCAATCCAGGAAGTGTTACCACTTCTCTAAAAATGTGGCATAGACTGGCAAAAACTTTAAGAAAATGACATAAAAATATGTTCTACAAACAGTTATGCCCAAAGACTTTCTTCAGATTTTAGTTATATTTTGTTAACATTGAGGGGAGAGGATTATCATGCAATGTTTGACAAGGGTGATATAATGTTGTATTAGATAGGGCTTGATGCCAAGGGTAAAAATAAATTCAATTTTGCTAACAAGAACATGTAAGTACCATATGTGAATGTTTGATTCTTTGAGTGTTAAACAGACAGAACAGGCTGCAAGATGAGTATGGCACATGACTTCTTTCAACTGATTGTACAGCATGAAATAAATATGACACCAAAGTAGAATTTCCTTTTTAATTTGGTATTACTACACTTTTCTTTAAAGAAAACAAAATCCTAATTCTCTGTTAAATATATAAGATCCCAATTTACTCATCAGCTGTAAAAGCGCAGAATAACTTAAGTATGAAATTACTTTATCTGTGAGTTTTAAATGTACGGTACCATGAATGTGGGGTTTAAAGATCTAAAGAACACTAATCTCATTGTCTAAAAACATAATGAAACAGAACTGTCAACAACAATCAACTTTGTGAATATACTTATAGTTTAACTAACAATTACAATAACCTACCATTCACCATATGTTTATTGGTGCTGCTGTCAATTCCATTTGTTGTAGAAGAAACTTGCTGATCTTTACTCAAAATAGAATTAGACTTAGATGGCACATTCCGAAGACTTGAAGACATCTTCCCTGACAAACAGCAATCTCCCATGTGTTCATGGGTATACACCGAACATGCAGTTTCACTGTTTGAGTGGTGTCGCTTTGAGCCTGGAGACCTTTGAAGACTTGGACTCCTGTGTGCAGTTCCTGATGGAGCAGATACTGATGACTGTTGCACAGAAAAACTGTAATGGTAGTCTCCTTCTCTTACAGAGTCATCACAGTGGCCTATCACATCAGCATTTCTAATTTTCCCTGTGTCCAAAACAACACTGCTGGACACCATGGATGGAAAGGAACTATGAGGATTGAAATACATGTCACTGCCCAAGCAACTACCATATTTCTGATGTGTCAGTGCTCGCGGTTCATTTTCATAAGAGTCCCAGTCACCAAGAGTTGCCAAACAAATCTGTCGCTGAAGCATTTCCTGAGCTTCTGCATCAAGATTCAATGGCCAAGCTAAATGCTGAGTGGACTTAGTAGTCTGTACACCAACAGTGGAAGATTTTCCTGCATGGAGGTTGTACAGGTGTGGATGGATATGAGGTTTAGCTGGACCAGTCCTACCAACTTCTCCAAGATGGGGCAGAGGAGGAAACACACTTGGGAGTAGCGGAAATGTTTTTGAAAAAGGACCAACTGAAAAATGACCCTGATCTTTTAGCTGAGTACAGGCATGACACTCACAGGGTCTTGGTTCAGTGGTACCCTGTAAATAGTTTTATAAATTTTTATTAACTAAAAGCTACAGTACTCAAGATAAAACTAAGCTATTAAATAATCACTACATAAGTAGGACTTGCTTGGTTATGTATAATTTTGAACAGTCTATCCCACATACTTTAGAAACAGAAAGATACTTTAACATCAACTATATTTCATAAATATTAATTTTTTTAAAAGCTTCATTTAGAAATTATTGGCCTATGTAAAGAGAACAATGGGAGATTTTAAACAAAAGTAGTTTTAAGAAAATTCAAAAGTTTGTTTTAATTAGTTGCAACTTTTTTTTAATGTAAAGCATAAAATAAATGGAAACTATATTTTGAGATGCACACATTTATACATCTTGGAATAATCAATGAACTTTTGAAACTAAAAAATTTACAAAGTCGCTATCTCCATCTCTAATATCCTATAAACATCATTTCTTAAATTCTTACACCTTCAATTAATTGTATGGAATCTATGATGAACTAATATAATAGCTATTCAATAGAATTAAGATAACAGGTATTTAAAAAATGGAATGTAGATAGCTTAAAAGTTTGAAAATTCAAAACCTTAAAATACACAGGGATTTTTATATGACTCACACAATAAATAAATGAAATTACTGCTTAAGATTAAAAAAATAAAGTACTTGTTTGGTAAACATAAAATTAATTTCTTCTAAAGTACAATGAACTAAGTAATGTTTTAAGAGTTTGTTTCTCACTCTGGTTAGTGTTAATTTGGAGCCTAATTACAACTGATATTTTTTATTATTTATACTGCAACAGTTGTGTCACTTTGAATTATATGACTAACTCAAAAACACAGATTTTCCCTTCTCAAGTTAGAAATGCAAGTGAGAAATTCTATACATCATTCATAGTAGTTTCCAATTCACATCTTACTGTCAGTTTACAAAGTTCCAATGTTAATTATTATCTTTCCTATAATCAGAGAACAAGCTATTTGTAAGCAAAATTATGATACTTTCATCTAAAATATCCCTAATAAAAAGTATCAGACTTAAAGTAGAGAAGAAAGACTACTCTTGAAAGACCATTGTGCTAAGAAATGTATCTTAATTACTTTACAAACATATCATTAAAAATGGAAAAATATCGCTAATGCAGTGCAAGTTTCTGAAAAGACTTAAATACTAAAGAATGAACATTATCATTAACGAGTCATGTAACAAGCACACACTTAACAATATTTGTTAATGATTAATATATATTTAAGATATGAAGTTTTGGATTAATGAATATTTTAAGATTATTAAATAAGTATCAACATCTTTGATAATATAGGCAACTTACTTAACCTTCTTGCCACAGGCATCTTCTTCTGTGCATGTCATGAGGTTTTAGTGAGTTACAGTCAAAATTTATTTAAACTACTTTGTTATCATGGTATATGAATAAACCTGGCATAAAAATGCAGCTAATAAATTAAATTTTCATAGTATATAAGTTTTAATTTCTTAATTTCATAAGGCAATATAAACAAAAAAACATCAATTTCTTCTTGTATGGGATTTGTGACATTTTCTCTCTAGGCATTCTCTCTTCTCCAATTTATTTGCTACCCATCCAAGAAGTGTAATGTTTAATGTAAATTATTCATTATAATGTCATCATCACTCAGGCAAAACAATCTTGTTTGGTTACACAAATAGAAAATCAGACCCCTCTTGCCCTGCTCAAATGTCACATCCTCTCTTTCAGAAATTGCAAACAGTTCTTTCTGATGTATATTATTTATAACCAATAGAAAGCCAATCTTTTAAGCTATCAAATGGCATGTTACATTATGTTATTTTCTGTACAGAAAATCCTCAATTTTGCTTTCAGTTCAAATTTTATTCCCATGGAAATACATTGACTAGCTTAGCTGAATTTCTAATGGCTTTTGTCACATAATCAGAAAGCCAGAAGAACTGTGAAAGTTATGAGACATTGTCTGCTTTTTGCATGTGAGTATTCTGTGTTCTTTGGTGCATTATTCAATTAAATAAAAAATTATTTAGTGCAGTAGTATCATTAATATAACAAAGTAGGATTAAGTGTTATCAACAGTCAAAGGCATAAAAAAAAGACCCCAGGTAAGTGGCTTATTTCTTGTTTGTCATGTGTATTCTTTATTTATTATTATAAAAGTAACTAAAATGTAAACATCAGAAATTTTTTAGGTAATGTAAAATATATAATAATAATAATTTTTGATGAGGTATGCTCACAAGCAGCTTGGGAGTATTCCGTGCATTATGTAATACCATAAAAAGAGCTGCACTTTGTCCAAGACTTACAACTTATACAGTGCAAATATTAGTTAGACATGGTTCAAAGGGCAATAAAACAATAAAATTTAAGTATAAATAGATGTATAGTGTTACGACTTTAAATATATTTAGGATGAACAAATGTAGTTTCATGCTACAATTTGAAGTTGTTCTAGAAAGAAAAAAGGGTAATTTAGATATATTTCAAATCTTTTTTTGGTGGTTACAAGGTTAGTCAAGTTGAATAATCTTGTATAGAGTTAGGGTAGAGAAAATAGCAGATAATGTAAAAAGTTTTACTGAGAAAAACAATTGAAATTTATTTAGGAGTTTAAAGAGATTACGGAAATAAAATTTGAGATCTTTGGGACAAAGAAAAGTATTTTTAATCTGGATACACTAATCACTTTGCACTCGGAGTAGTCAAGAAAAATACTCGATATATTCATGGACAAATCTTTAGTAAAAATGTTTCTTTAAAAAAATCTTATTTTCTGTGTACAAAAGATGTAATGTTTGCTGAAAGGTACATCTACTGTATTAAAATTCATAGTATAGAAACTATAATGAGTACAAAATGGTTATGAACTCAGTCAATATGACTGACCCAATGGCAAGCGAGTTAAACTGTTGAGATTTTGGAATGTATTGTACAACCCACTTTTATAAAGATAACATACAAAAATACTGGAATGTTTAAAAATAAGTGGGTAAAATAAACCAATAAAACTTTTCCTGAATTAACACTCATGCACTAATAGTTAATTTCCCATTAGCCATTAACTTAATTGTTTCATGAAATGCTAATGTTCAATAAATGCTGAGGTTTTAGAATGAATCTTAATGATATTTTGTTTTATAACCATCTACAATCATTTAGCCTTGTGTCTAGATGTGTATTTTTGTAAACAAATTTTGAAAACAGAATGTCTTATCATACGTGAATGACAGAAAATTCTAAAAATCTTTTAAAAGTAATATAATTAACAAAGCTTTTTTGTTTTAACCTTCAACAAATGTAACATATATTAGAAAACCATAATTATGGGAGAAAACAACAAAAGAAAACAAAAATATCAGAAATTAATGTTAATTCTCTTCAGTTCTTTGGGAAACACATTCATAAAATCTACATATCATACACGACTACTAATACATTATTTGATATTCCAGTTATTACTTATATGATAGCTAAAATTCTCTGCTCTTGGATTCACAATGTCTCTTACCATACAAAGACTAAGGGAAAGGTGAAATGACAAACCCAGTGACGTACATTTGTACTTAGGGTTTCAAGTTTCGTTTCCTGTCCTTTCTCTTCTATTGTTAAACCCCTGAAATTCCAATGCTGAGCGAATTCTGATGTGTCATTCAGCTGAGATGTAGATACAAAGGAGTGTCTGAGAGGAGAACTTGGAGCTGTAATAGATACATTGAAGTTGGAATTACTGACAGAATGACTGTATGTACTAGTAGCATAATTTGACTGGTAGTTTTGACAGCAAACATGACAAGGCTGAGATAAATCACACTGTACATGAGTGGTTTGATCTGTACGGTGACTGTTCTGCTTGAGACAGAGTTGACAGTGATGATGTTTTAAAGCTCTAGATGGTCGGTTGCTGTCTGATTTGGAAATGGAAACAGGACTCTGGGAACAAACAGATGTCTCATTTGATTCTGTTGGAGCACCTATCACCACCCTCTGAACTTCTAAGGTCTGTTTTGACGAGGATACGAGTTGACTTGATTCTTTCCTGGAAATACATACATGTATATATATAACTTGATAATTAAAATTACAAATTTCTGACATAGTCTGTCTTGTAAAGGAAAACAGAAATTCAAAACAAGCTTGAAACAGCTACTGTGATAAATGAACAAAATTCAATTGTTGTAAAATTATCATAACAGCAGTTAACTCACTTTCAATTTCTTTCCTGATACATTACTAGATATAACAGATGCATAGACTACTATAACTTAGATGCCTCTCAATTAAATGTTAAGAATATAATAAGCTTTTACAATTTTACATCAGGATATTATACTTAATAACAATGAGGTTCACTTCTTCCTATCAACTTCAAAACAAGGGAAATAATTAGCATTTTGAAACAGTTTTCATTATTAAAAAAAAGTATTAAAAATAGCTTTCAATTAAAGTGAGTTTATTTAGTGACCTGAAACTACAATATTTAAAAACCAAAAGCTACTTACTGGCTTTAACTAAGTTTAAGCCAAGAAGTAGTTTCATAGAGAACACAACGTTAAAAAATTAAAATAAATAAATTTGCTAAATTAATCAACACAATTTCAACAACCAAGTCCTAGTTTGAAAAGTAATATATAGAAAAGCAACCATTTATTAAAAAGAAAACATTTCTTGAATATCACTAATGAAACAAAGATATGTGCAAAAACTAATATACAGGGACTGTTGTGACATGTTACTTTTTTCCTTCTTCTTTCCACATATAAGGAGAGGAAGAATAATGTAATTGGTCAAAATGCATGGGATATCACAGGGGAAAAAATAACTAATTTTCAAAAAGATTAGTGAAGTACTGGAACTGACAGATTTACTTTTAGTGTTAATTTTTAACACATTTAGATCTTTTTCATGTAATTACTTTGAGTTTATTAATTACTCAATTATTTATAATATTTGGAAATGAAGCAAAAGTACTTTATAGTAAAAAATAAATCATATGCTGTTTTTTATGATTACAACACCCAATTTCAATATCATAATTTCTTATTTTCTACAGAAGTGTATTATAAAAATATTACACATATAATACAGTACAACACGGTGGACAATACTGAAACTTACTGTGAAGGGTGTCTCAGCTGGGAGTGAGAAGGGGTTGTATATTGTCTGGCATGTGAATTTGCCAAAGGAGATTGAACTGATGTGATAGCATTTTTTTCGCTACCTTTACTGTAATGATTGCTAAAGGAGTTAGGTTGTCTATAGGATGAATCTCCATCTGCTTGCTCTGCCATATGAGCCAACTCCTCTGGAGTCAAGAGACTGGGAACAAAGTGGGATGTTGAAAGTTGTTTAGAATTCATACATTCATCACACGGGCACCTATAAAATAACAGTTGAATAAAATTAAATAATCTTTATACAACCAAAACATGTTTATATTACACCTAACCAATTCAAAAATGTATTATAAATACATTTTATCATTTGGAATATATAACTGTCAAACTTACATTTTTGAATCTCTAAATCAAATGTAAAACATAAATTCTCAAACCATTAGACTTCAAAGAAACTTCTGAATATATAAATACTTTAAAGGCCTAAAATGAAGGAGAAATTTTGCTTTCTATTTCTTCCAAAATTTCTAATTTCATTATAACAGAATAATATTTTAAATTATTACAATTTTGTGTTTGTTATAGTTTTGATACTATACCTTTTAATACAGGATGTGTACCTGCACAACATTTTGCACATTATCAGTAAACACTATAATGCTTTTGTACACAAAATATCAGATTTTTTTTAAGTTAAAGATTTTTTAATTAACGATTTGCTTAGGTATTTTTTCTTTTTGATTGTTGACTATCCAACACACAAAGTAATTTATATTTTAAAGTTAAAAATACTTTTATACATCAGAAGATTGTCAAATTTCCCATCAAAATCTTTATAGTTTGATAAAAACCTCCAGATAATTTTATCTGTTATTTTCACTATTGTATCTCTGTATGGGTTTGGCCAATTTGATTGACCTCGTAACCACTATAAAAAATTAGGAAACAGATATAAATTATGCTCTTTGGTTCTAGAATGACTACAAATTATAACATGAAACCATAAATGTTTTGTCTAAATAGATTAAATCTCCTAACATTATACATCTATATATATATATATATATATTATTTTTATTTTATTGACCTTTCAGCCATGTCTGACTAGCACTACAGAAATTGCAATGACACGGCACACGTGCACTCATGTTATTGTATCCAATAGCATAAAACTGGTCTTTACAAAGAGGCCTATCTTGCCTTTGTTCTAGTGGACAAGTATTTTGCAAAATAAAGTCACAATTTGGTTATAATACGTTACATATGTATATATATATTATTACTATTTATAAATAAGTTCTTAAATTTCAGTTATTTTTCTTAAAATATACAACAGTCAATAAAGAAGTATAGAAAACAAAGCTCTCTTCTACTTATGAACTTTTCACTCGCTTGCCGGAATTTGCTAAGCCTTGTCAAATTTTGCATGCAAAGGATATAAAATAAAACAATTTTTTAGGTTTTATATATGCATGTTGAAATAACAAAAAATCATAAACTAATACATCAATACCACAAAATTCCATTATAATTTGTCAGGCTTAGTAACTAAGCTGCATTTGGGTCTAAAAAACATGATTTTTTGAGCTCCATTTTCTCCTACCTTTCTGTTTCGATTCTACCATAAAAAGGAAAAATTACCCACGTAAATAATATGCAAAGGCTGAGAAAGGGGTTATTCTGAGCTTCTGATTGGTTATACATACATCAGAGGGTGAAGTAGGTGTACATAAGCAAGTATTTCCAGAAAATAGAAAAGATAGGAGGTTCTTATTTTATATTCTAGGTTGTCTATACCTGTAATTTGAGTTTCTAGTTTGTAAAGTCAATATTTAGGATTTTTTTTAATATTTACTTTTAAATTAAGAAATTAACTAATGTAT